GTCATTAGCACCTCTAGTAATATATTTACTGAGAAAAATGGGGACGTGTTCAACACTTATTTTACCTGCTGTAACTTTCAAATTTCACAAATCTTGTGCCACATGGTGAAAAAAAGCATCTTGATGCCAGAAAAAATAATAACAATCAAGTCAAAAACAACAGACTTCTGCTGCTTCACAGATCTCCTGCCTTAAAAATATCATTTATTTCTTCACCTGTTGACTTCACGTGGACGCAGTCATGGTCCTCTTGACATCAGTGTAGGAGGATAAAAATGTTAATTTGACTTTAAAAATGTCCTAAAATAAAAAGAAAGAAAAGACAAAACAGTTTATTTTACTGCATGCAAAATGACTTTTTCCAGCTTCTTGGAAAACTGTTATRTAACAGAAATAAAAGGTCAGATTATTCTCTGAATACAAACTGTTTCCAGGAAGTAAACACAGCAGCCGAGGCAGAAACAGGAAGTGAACGGTGATGATGTCGACCGTAGGTGGAGGTTGAAAATAACAGCAGATCTGTTTGTCTTCATGTGTCCGTCATCCTGTGGGCGGGTCAAAAAAAGAATCAGGAAGCGATAAAAGAAGTTTTTATTTTTCTGTTTTTATTATTTTCTGTTTTCATTGGTCAGTTTATTTTCTGTTTGAGACACGAAAACATCTGCTGTAAATCAGAAACAATAAGTTCGTTTTTCTTCATTTTTATTGTTCTGAAACTTTCCTGCAGATTTTTGTTTTGGTTTGGTTTCATTGAAAAAAGCTAAAAGGCCTTTTAGGTGGCGGACAGGCGGCCGCAGCCACATAAAGTCAGATTTTCGTCGGTCTCACTATTTATTTATTTATTTCACCGCCTCTGCAGCCGCAGCCGATCCAGACTTTGTTTATGGAGGGAAAAGATCCAAACTGTGGCCGAGTTTCATCATCACTTTGGTTCAGGAGCTAAAAACAAAAACAGATCTGGTTTATGTTCAGATCAGTTCTGACTCTGACCCCAGAGATGATTTTTTAATTTTGTTTTTATTCTCTTATTATTTTTCTATTACAACCCTAACTCTGAAAAAGTTACACAATTCAAGGATTTTGCAAAATGCATGAACTTATATTTTATCAATAAAGGAACACAATAAACACATCAGGTGTTAAAATTAAGGTTTTATCATCTGAAATATTTGAATAAATGCATTTTGTGGTTTAATGTTATTTCTCTAAAATCAGCAAAACCTTCACTGAAAATCATGTCTGGATCGGAACAGATGTTTTGCTACGTTGCTACTAATAATCTTAGTTTTATGTGGGAGTCTTAAGTTAGCGATTAGCATGGATTAGCTGGCATTAGCATTAGAGAGGCTAGGCTGCTCACCTACTTTATTAGACACAAACACTTTTGAATAAAGAAACCTTTCGACAAAAATATTTGACATACAAAGCCATAAGCAACATGCACTGACAGGTGTTCTTGTTCAACATGACGTCAAAAATAAATATTAAACATAAAT